TTCACAGCCAAAACTCTTCCGGTCTCCTTATTTTCACGGACTTGGAAGGATCCAGTCTACGTAGACCGCGTCCTTGGAAGGATCCAGTCTACGTAGACCGCGTCCTTGGAAGGATCCAGTCCAGGTAGACCGCGTCCTTGGAGGATCCAGTCCAGGATTTCGAGCAGAGCCTATATCCCTGTGAGGTTGGTCGACCTGAAGATCCAGCCATGATCCTGGGTCAGAACCAGAACCCAGCAGTAGACCCACTGAATGAGGCATTTAGTGAGGCAATAGTTGAGGCAATGAATGAGGCATTTATTTCTGACCTCGGAGGAGTTTCTAACGTCATTGGCAGCAGGATTTTGCGCAGAGTTTGTTTTGGTAGAATTTAACTTTTTCTTTCCTTTAAATTCTGTGTGTCTTCATTAAAAACATTTAGCCTTTTATTACCTGTTATTAAACACCCACTAAACCTTATTAGGAGGTGATAGCTTGGTACCTGCAGGGAGGGTCACTCAAGAACCAGTAGAAATCACTGATTGATCAGAGCCAGTAGGATTAACTGGGACCAGAGTCCAGGAATGAATGAGTAAGGGTTAGGGTTAAACGGCCACGGCGTCCATCCGTCCGAGCAGAGATGCTGTGATGCGGCTCAAACGCACGTTATTAACTTGGAAGACGGGAACCTTAACTCTGATGCTACTGCGTCTGTTTCAGGCCTTACCTGCTGAGCAGCATCGCCCCCAGGGGCCAGGGCTCTGTGGGATCCATCGTGGGCCTCGTCCCGGGGGTCCTGTCTCTGTCTCCTGGCGAGTCGGTCGCTGGCGCCCATCAGGGCCGCCACTCCAAGTCGGCCCAGTACCGCCGCATGAAGGCAGAGTGGAAGAGCAACGTGTACCTGGCTCGCTCCCGCATCCAGGTGAGAAATCCACCCCAGGCAGACATGACGGCGCCACCTGCAGGCCCAGAGGCTGACTGTAGCTGTGTCTGTGAGTAGGGACTGGGACTGTACGCCGCCAGAGACATCGAGAAGTGCACCATGGTAATCGAGTACATCGGGACGATCATCAGAAGCGAGGTGGCCAATCGCAAGGAGAGGCTTTATGAGGCACAGGTGATGCACCTGAAACAAACACACGTTACATCTCACTATCCTTCAGGGGACTTTCCATTGACTTCCATTAATTTCTATGGCCTGACCCCCAAGAGGAGACCTTCCCCTCATGGGGGCCAGCCGAGGGTCCCTATGAGGGACATGTCCTCCATCTAGAAAAGGGACACGCTGGGCTTGGACAGGTTAAAGTTTTTGTTAGTTTTTTCTTCATCAGCGTAGTCATCATTGCACCGTTTCCATAAAGACCAGTTCTGGTTCCTCAGCACCCAGTAAGGCTCTTCTACTGGTGGATGCCATCCATGCACCAGTAGATGCTACATGCTAGCTGCACATTCAGGCTTATTCTCGTAGCAGCGGCCACGGCAGGTTCAATCAGCAGCAGGACTGAGGAACTTGTTTTCTCGGTTGAATCCTGAATCTACGTTTTTTATTTTTGTAGAACCGCGGCGTCTACATGTTCCGGATTGACAACGACTATGTGATTGATGCCACCATCACCGGAGGACCGGCGAGGTAAGCAGAGCAGCAAACGGGGTTGTGAAGCCTGAGGCGTCTCCTGCTCTGTGCTGACCGGGGGATGGGGTGGGGCTATGTGTGATTGACAGGTACATCAACCACTCATGTGCGCCAAACTGCATCACTGAGGTGGTTACCGTGGAGAAGGAAAACAAGATCATCATCAGCTCCTGCAGACGGATCCAGAGAGGAGAAGAGGTAGGATCGACACGTCAGTCGGTGCATTAACCCCCAGCCTGTTTCTGATTGGCTCACTGTATTGGCTCCGCCCCTACAGCTGTGCTACGACTACAAGTTTGATCTGGAAGACGACCAGCACAAGATTCCGTGTCACTGTGGAGCTGTGAACTGCCGCAAGTGGATGAACTGAGTGCCCCCTCTGTGGGCGGAGCTAATGACATCATCATGATTCTACAGCTGATAGATTAGATCAAAGTAAATAAATTTTCTACTTTTTAATGAATCAACAAACGGCCTACATGTGGGTGGAGTTGGTGCTGATATTGGAAGGGGCGGGGCTTACCAAGAGGCTGGTCCTCGCTGTAAATTTCCTGTAAACATGAGCTAAGATGTAAATGTGAGTTTAAACGCCACTGAAATAAAAGTCTAGTCCTTTAACTTGCACTAAAAGACATGAAACCCACACAGACCTACCTGATTCTTCGCCCTCCTCTTCATCCACTTCCTGTAAAATAAGAGATTTTCTTCTTTTTGTATTTATTACTGAATGAGGCTATTTTCTAAAACTCTGCTGCATTCAGATCTAATGTGGCAGCATGTAAATATCTGTACCATAAGTAAAAACCTCCTTCTCCTTCTCACCTGTGTGTCCAGTTAAACCCTGAGTTTGGTCTGCAGGCGTCCTGCTGCCGTGTAAATACCAGGTTTTATTCAGGCTCTGCCGATGTGTACAGATAGATGACATGAAGCCTTGGTTTTTTTTAATAAATGGATGTAAGCAAAGTGATGTTTTTGGGAAAAACAGTGAATCTGATTTAGTCATTTACAGAGAATAAAATATTTTACATCTTATCCCACTCTGTGTTTTCATCACTGACCTTTTTAATAACTTTAAACTACATGTCAGCAAATACCAGACCAGATTTATTCCTAAGAAATGTTTAAAAAGTTGCAGCTGAAAAAAAGAGCACAAGTTCCGTTATTGAGAAACAGCCAGAGAATCTTCAGAAACACGTGGAAAGAAGAATAGTGTGGACTGAACAGAACTGCTAGCTTAGCTAATCAAGCTAATGCTCAGTCAGTCAGAAAATCAGGTCATAGCGCTACAAAGAGTAAAAACTAAGAGTGGGATTATTTAAATGATGGATGAAGAAGCACTAAACAGGTTATGGCAGTTGACTTCCGGCCGGAACACCGTAAAGATGGCTGCTCGGTAGAGAGACTCCCCAGACAATCGGAGATATAACTGAATTACCCCAATTCAGCTGAGCAAGATTGCCTCACGAAAGTCAGATAGAGCAGGTAAGACGATAACTAAGCCCCAAAGTCAATAAAACTTGAAGAGGAAAGATGAAAAATCCTGTGAAAAGTTACAGCTAACGTATCGTAGCCGTAAGCTAACAAAACGAAATGGCTAGCCTGGACATTCTATTAGAAGAACTGAGAGGGTTCCGCGAGGAAACCAGGAAACAACTCTCAACTATTAAAGAGGAAATACGAAAAACTAACGCAAGGATTAGTGAAGTAGAGGAACGGTTGGAGAAGACAGAGGGGCGAACTCAAAACATGGAGGAAGTGGTAGCTTAGCTGCTAAAGCTACACATGAATATGGAAGATAAGTTGGTAGACTTGGAGAGCCGATCCAGGAGAGAGAATGTCAGGATCTACGGTATTCCAGAGGGAGCTGAAAAGGACTGTGAATCCATGGTTGCATTTGTGGAATCTTTACTTAAAGAGGGGCTCGATCTGGAGAGCAGCGGGCCGGACATGCAGGTTGAGCGAGCACATCAGGCGCCGGGCCTGCAGCCGCCGGAGGGAGCGCCGCCACGGTCGTCCGTTGTGAAAGTTTCAAATATAAAGAGATGTTGCTTCGTAAGGCTCGGCAGCGTAACGGATTTATCTGGCGTGAAAAACGAATCTGGATCACGATTACCCGCCAGCCATCCTTGGAAAGCGCCGAGAGTACGCCGAGGTTCGGAGAGTCCTGAAAGAAAACGGAGTTCCGTTTCAGACACTCTTTCCTGCGAGGCTGCGAGTGAAACATATAGGAAGGAACCAGAACCTACGACACCATAGAGGAAACCACAGAGGACCTGGCAAAAAGGGGATATAAAGTCAAAGTCATCAGATCTCCAACTTCCCTGAAGGAGCAGATCGATCGGCTGTCCTGGAGCAGAAAGGAGAGGAGAAAACAGAAAGGCTCTTCCAGCTCAGCAAGGGGAGGAAATTACAAAGAGCGGCTCCAAGCTTTCAGAAGAACATCTCCTCCCGAGACCTGAAGGAATTATCCTCTTTCCCTCCTTGTTTTTTCCTCTTGGAGATAAGTATATAGAGGGCTGACTTAATTGGGACGGGACTTTTGAAAGGATTGTTTGGGTTCTACTCTTATTTGGGCGGTCGCCACTTGTAAGGGCCCTCCTTAACAATATGGGAGGATTTTCCCTCCTGAGCTTCTTCCGAGAGGCTCTACAGGGTCTAGTTAACAGACCCCTGCCTTGGATGCTTAACATCTTCTGTTTTTTTCATGGTTCACGTTTGTTCCTGGTTCACCTGTTGTTTTTTTGTTTATACTACTTCTAGCGAGCGGGGGGGGGGATTTCCAGGATTTCCAGGGTCTTCAGTGAAATGGGAGGGATAATTTCCTGAATGGGTAGGACACAGTTGAAGGTGGTTTCTTTCAATGTAAATGGCTTAAATAATCCGCTTAAGAGATGGAGAGTTCTGTCTAAGCTCAGGAAAGAAAAGGTTCAAATAGCTATGCTGCAGGAAACCCACCTAGGTGATTCCGAACACACCAAACTAAACAAGATGGGGTTTAAATCTGTCTATTTTTCTTCCCACGGCTCTGGGAAACGAAGAGGGGGAGCCATTTTAATATCTAACTATGAACATGTTGCAGAACATAAAGATAGGGAGGGTTGTTATATTTCAATTACAGGGAAAATAGATGGCATCCTGATAAGTCTGATTAATGGCTATGCTCAACCTGGTAGTGATCGGTCTTTTTATAAAAAAAAATACTTGAATTAGCAGCAACAGAAAGTCAAGGTATAATGATTTGCGCAGGGGACTTTAATATTAGGCTAAATCCAAATCTGGACTCATTAAATGGGAAAACAAGTTTAAAGCTACAGGGTGTATTTTTCAGCGACATCTAGCGGTCAGACTGCAGACCGCAGCAACATGAACATATCCTCCCCACCGCTTCTCCCCCCCAACAGTACGGCGAGCGTTACGGGACAAAATGTCTTCCACGACGTCCGCATCACCTACCTTCCCAAGTGATGAGGTTTGTTTACATAGATAATTTTAATACTGCCATCTATTTTTCAGTACCGTCTCAGTTCATCTCTCTCAACTTGCCGTAGTTACTTTCGAGCGTAATGGGCGATCTCGCAATCGCTAGTTTCTTGACTCTGCGCTGCCGTAGCACAAAGATGTCTGCCTCCATGGCTGCTAGACCCGCTCCTATGTAATTATAAATAACGAATTCTAAGGCAACGCAAATATTAAGGTTAACAGGCTGAGCTCGTAGATGATGATAAATAACATAGTTATGTATAATATATTACATTTCTGACTGTATATCCCTGTAATTATTACACACTGTAGCTTTAAGATATATCAGTAAAAGAATGAAAAGTATGATGGACGAACTGGGAATAGTGGATATATGGAGGGATAAGAACCAAACCAGTCGTGACTACACTAATTTTTCCTCTTCTTATAACGTATACTCACCAATAGATTATTTCTTCATGTTTAAAAAGGATGTTCATAGATTAGAAAGTTTGGCGATCGGATCTAGTCCAATTTCAGATCATAGCCCAATCTATATTTCTGTCCTCCTGGCTGAAAAAAACAGATCCACGCTCTGGAGACTGAATACGAACTTATTAAATAGTACATCCTTTAAGGAGAATATGAAAACTGAAATCAAACGATATCTGGAAGAGAATGACAATATAGAGGTGGGTCCGGCAATACTTTGGGATGCATTAAAGGCGGTAATCAGGGGAAGAATCATAGCCATCTCCTCCTACGAAAAGAAAATTAGACAATTAAAACAAACCCAATTGAAAGTGGAACTAAAAAAACTACAGAAAGAACATTCCAAAACCTTCAAGAGAGCAACAAAAAATAAAATTGAGATAGTGAAAAAAGAGCTGAATGATTTAAACCTGCAAGAAATACAAAAGAAACTTCTCTTTACTAAACAGAAATACTATGAGGCTGGGGGAAAATCCCTGAAGCTCCTAGCATTTAAACTACGAAAACAACAAGCTGATAGAACTATTCACAAAATACAGAATATTCATACAAATAGGGTTGAAACAAGCCTGGCAAATATTCATAAATGCTTTGTTCTACCAAATCCTATACTCCGAACCCAAACTGAATAATGAACAGCAAATGGATACGTTTCTTTCTCAACTCACTCTGCCCAACATTACAGCCAAGCAAAACGAACAATATCAGAGATAACTGAGGCAGAACTAAGATCGGTGATTAAAAAGTTAAAAGGAGGGAAATCTCCAGGAACGGATGGGTTTACCTCCGAGTGGTACAGAGCTATGCAAGATCTATTAGTCCCTGTTTTATTAAGAGTTTTCAACAATGTTCTGGAAAAGAAAATAATTCCTCCTTCATGGAGGGATGCAATTATTTCGTTAATCCCCAAGGAGGGAAAGGATAAGTTGGACTGCAGAAACTACCGCCCAATAAGCCTGCTTAATATTGATTATAAATTATTTACTGCCATAATTGCACAGAGATTAGAAAACATCTTACCAGTGATAATTCATAAGGACCAAACAGGCTTTATCAAACGGAGACAGACACAGGACAACATCAGAAAAAACTTTGCACATCTTAAACCATGTAGTTCAACAAAAAATAGAGACCCTTGTACTGAGTCTGGATGCAGAGAAGGCTTTTGACTCTGTTAGATGGTCCTTTCTCTACAAAGTTATGTCCAGATTTGGGTTTCACCAGAACATAATTGATGTCATTTCAGCCCTATACAATAAACCATCGGCTAGGATAAAAATTAATGGGGACGTATCTGACCCCTTTTGTTTTGGAAAGAGGTACGAGGCAGGGATGCTGTGTTTTGCCGCTTCTCTTCGCCCTTTTCATAGAGCCGTTAAGTCAATGGATAAGACAGAGAACAGACATAGCTGGGGTTCACATGGCATCTGGAGAACAGAAGCTTTCATTGTTTGCAGATGATTTGTTGCTAACCATAACAAATCCATCTCAAACTCTACCAGTGCTTATGGGAGCAGTCGAGGAATATGGCTTGCTCTCGGGTTACAAGATAAATGTTACCAAGACTCAGGCTCTAACATTAAATTATAACCCACAGAACAATATTAGAAACCTGTACAGTTGGAACTGGGAGGCAGATTCCATAAAATATTTAGGGGTCACATTGCCCAAGGACTTTTCTAAGATTTTTGATGCCAACTATGGGCCCCTAATCTCAAACCTGAAATCAGACATACAGAGATGGAACCTGACCCCTTTCTCAAATTTATACTCCAGAGTGGAATCGGTCAGAATGAACATTCTCCCACGCTTCCTTTATCTATTTCAATGTTTACCTATCCAGATATCAGAAAGACGTTTTATAGAATGGGAAAGAATGATATCTCAGTATATTTGGCAGGGAAAAAAGGCAAGGGTGAGGTATAGGACGCTGCAATTAAAGAAAGAGAAAGGTGGACTGGGTCTTCCCAAGTTTATTACCTTGCAGCTCAGTTAAGACCAGTGTTCTGTCTATGCTCTCCATCATACGATGCGAGGTGGAAGGATATGGAAGGTAGAACAGTGGAGGGAATACC